CCCCCCCAATTAGGTCCATCTTGGGGGTTCCAGGGACACCACAGCCCCCTTGGGAGGTCAGAGCCCTGTCTGCCTCCCAGCCATATCACCAGCCAGCCCCTGAAACTCTCTCCCTTCAGTGACCCCCTCCCACAGCCTTTGTTCAGTTCCCAGGCAAAGGTGTCACCTGGCCTCTAACCCCTTCCTGGATTCTCATGTTACATGCTCTGGTGTCTTCCCTCAAGTCCAATCCCCCAATGCAAACCATCCCATCCTAGCCGCACTCCCCTGACTTCCCAGCCAACCTCCCCACTTAGCATTCAAGGACCACATTAAGAAAGGTGGCTCCCTATTCCCCCCCCCCAAACAATGACACCAAGCCAGAGTCTTTCAGCATCTTTATTTATAAAAATAGATGGAGTTTTCTCTTTCATACAAAACCCAAAGAGTTACAAATAGAATTGAAGGGTTTACGGGGTGAGGAAGGGGGAACAGGACCACAATGCCCTGCACCAACAGCAGGCACCTTGGTGGGTTTAAACCATAAGGCGGTGGTGAACCCAGGAGTCCTGGCTCTAACCACCAGAGCTAGGAAGGGAGCCCAGGCTCCCAGTTTCCTATGCATGGCACTGGGAGGGGGATTCTTCCTCCTCCGCGCCCCCCATACAGGAGCCAGGGAGTGAACCTCCCGAAGGAGCTGCTCCAGCCCGTGCCTCCCGCTCACGAGCGCCCCTTGCCGGCCCAGCGGAAGAAGTCGCAGCGGGCACGGGGGTCGTTGGGGCGCCCTGGGGGCCGGGCACAGACATAGAAACGCCGCCCGCGGTTGGGGCCGGGTTTGCGGACGGTTCGGAGGGCGCAGGGCTCCCCGTGGGCTGGGCAGCAGGGCGGAGGAGCCGGGCCAGGCAGCACCGCGCGCCAGCGGGCCGTGCTGCTGGGCTCGGTGCCTGCTGCCTGCCCCATTGTCAGCTCCCTGGGCACCATGCCATTGCAGGGCTCCTGTTGTCCGACCTGCCCCAGTATATCCTGGGCCGGTTCCTGTTTCCCGTGCCCTGAGGCATTCTGGTCCGACTCTTGTCCGCCCTGCCCCGGTGCATTCTGGGCCGTGCCTGTCCCCAGCTGGCTCTGTGCGGCTCTGAAATAGCGCAGCAGGTCCGTTTGCCCCCTGGGCGGGCGTCTCCCCCTCCGTGCAGAGCACCCCGGCCCCGCCCCTCGACACGTCCCCCGGCCTCCTGCGGCCTCCGCTCCCCGCTCCACCCGGACCAGGAACCGGCTGAGCTTCTGCTGGGTGCCGGCGAATTCGGGCATGTGGCGGGTGCAGAGCGGGGGGCAGCGGGGCGCTGGCAGAAAGGTGGCCGCCAGCTCAGCCAACACGGGGCAGTGGTCAGAGCCGGGCACCTCGGGCAGGACGCGGGCATCCCGCAGCTCGGCCAGCGCCAGGGCCCGGTCAGCCAGGACGTAGTCTATCCGTGTGCCGTGGTTGGTGAGCCGGGCGCCGGTGTCGATGCGCCAGCAGGTGAAGGCGTAGGGCTGGCTGGGGTGCAGGAGGCGGAAGGTGTCGACGAAGAGCCCCTGCCCGTCTGGCGCCCACAGGAACCCGTCCAGCCAGCGCCGGCCTGGGTGCTCCCGGAACACCTCCTGCGGAAGGGAGAGTCAGCATCTGGGAGAACCCAGGAGTCCTGGCTCCCTGCTCCCCCTCCTAACCACTACACCCCACTCCCCTCCCTGAGCTGGGGACAGAACTCAGGCGTCCTGGCTCCCCACCAACCCCCCAGATTAGAGAGGGGACCCCCCCGGGCACTAACCGGGTCCCCTGGCTCACAGTGGTCAATGGGCCGATGCGATGTGTTGATGTCCCCCAAGATCACGACGTGGCTGGAAGACAAAAAATGGGGCGGGGGGGGGGTCAGGAGTCTGGAGGGATGAGCCCAGACAGGTGGGGGGGGGGGGAGGGAGGAGGTCTCTAGTCCCAGGAGGGGCCCTGAAGGGGGGGTGATGGAGAGACAAGACCTGGGTGGGGCTATTGGGTGGGGGGGGTCACAGGGAGATGGTGGGGCGGCCTGGACCCTCTGGCTTCAAGAGGTGTTTGGGTTGATGGGGTCAGGGGAGATTGAGGGGATGCGAACCCCGTCTCTCAGCAGCGCCTTGGCCCATGTTGGGGGAGAGGAGCAGGGTACGTACCCACCGTCTCTCAGCAGCGCCTCGGCCCGGCCCTGCAGCAGCCGGTAGAAAGATGCCTGGTAGGCAGCGCGCTCGGGGCGCTGGGGATCGGCCCGGGGGCAGTACACATTGATCACCGTCAGGGTGGTCTCCTGCTCTGCCGACGTCCTGCGGGGGGAGAAGGCAGAAAACGCAGTGTGTGTCAGGCTGGCATCTCGCCCCCCCCCCCCCGGGCACTTGCCAACAACCATCCTCCCACACCTGGCTCCCTGCCCCCCAACCCAGCACTCTGTGGGCACCTGGCCCACGGCTCCTCGCCCCACGATCCTTGGGGACAAGGCCCCCTCCCCCCCGCGCCCCTCACCGTATGCGGTGGTGGGTGATCACCGCACGCCCCTCACTGTCCAGCGCCTTCAGTTCCTGGTGCGTGAAGGCCCCTAGGTCTCCGTAACAGCCCACGGCGCCACCCTCCCCGGGCCGGGCCAGGAGCCCGGAGAGCCCCTCCTCCGCCGCCAGCGGGGTGGCACTGTCCTTGCAGAAGGTCGCCACACCTGGTTGGGGGGAGAGAGAGAACCCAGGAGTCCGGTGCCAGCCCCAGCTCTGGGAGGAGAGTGGGGGGCTGGTGGTTGGAGCAGTGGGGAGCCCGGACGCCTGGGTCCCAGAGCCGCCCCGGTTACCTGAGTAGCCGCTCCGGGTGCGGCAGAAGCTGAAGTAGGAGTTGTAGCCATCCACCATGGCCAGCGGCTCCTCCAGCAGGTCCCCTGGGGACACGGGGTCACCGCGGGGTCAGGCTGGGCTCTGCCCCCCTCCCCCATCGCTCTGGGGGCAGGTGGGGCCCCCTTGTGCGTGGGGCCCTTTGATCCCTGACCCCCCCCCTGCTCTAACCAACCCCCGCCCCGCAGCTCATTGACCTCTGACCCCATCACTACTTCCCCAGCCATGCCCTGTGACCCCTGCCCTTTGACCCTTTCCCCACTGGACCTCCCGCCCCAAGCCCTGTCCTTGGACCCCTGATCCTGCTCCCTTCCCCTGGCTCCGCCCCTGTGACCCCTGACCCCCTCTCTGTGACCCTTGCCCTGCTCCTGTCCCTTAGCTCCGCCCCTGTAACCCCTGACCCCGGCCTCCCTGTGACCCCTGACCCCGCTCACGCGTGACGCGGGTCTCCTGCAGGCAGATCACGTCCCCGCCCAGCGCCCCGAGCCCCGCGGGGCCCGGCCCGGCCCGGAGCCCGGCCACGTTCCAGCTCAGCAGCCGCATCCCCGCCGGCCGCGTCACTTCCGCCCCGCAACCCCCTGAACTCACTGCACTTCCGCCCCTCGCACCGGAAGTGATGGTCGGGGGACCGGAAGGAGACCAGACACTCTCAGCGCTCCCGCTTCCGAGCCTTGGCCCCGCCCCATCGCATGGACACACCCCCTCGGGTGCCTGCTGCCAGAGCCCCGCCCCCATTTGGCTACGCCCCCTGTTTAGCCACGCCCCTTGCTGGTAACTGAGACTTTATTGGGCTCTCAGGCAGGCTCCTCCCCCAATTGCCCCAGGAGGCTCCGCCCCTTTCTTCACCATGCCCCTCCCCCTTCTCTACTGGCTCCTCCCCCTTCTCTACTGGCTCCTCCCCCGGCAGCCGTCAGCGCCTCTTCTTCTTGTCCTTGGGGGGGCGGCTCAGGCTGAGGCGGGACAGAGACTTCACCAGCGACAGGATCCGGCTGGGCTTCCTGCCTGCGGCCGGGGGCAGAGAACGGGGCCGGGGTCAGGCTGGGGGCTCCCTGCCTGCCAGGGCCCGACGCCGCGCCGCAGGTCCCTCCCGGAGCCCGAACCCCCCCAGTCCCCCCGGCCCGGTGACAGCGAGCGAGTGACAGACGGAGGGAGCTGGAGTGAATGGGGGCGGGGCCTCGAGAAGGGGCGGGGCAGGGGGCGGGGCAAGGGTGTTTGGTTTTGTGCAATTAGGACGTTGGCCACCCTAGGCCCCAGAGGGAGCGCACTGGGGTCGGGCCGCAGGGGCTGGCCGGGAGGATGCAGTGGGGCAGGGCTGGGCTAGGGGGCTGTCACTGGGGGGGCTCCCTCCCCCAGGCCGTGTCGGGCTCCTACCTACCCCGGCTCTGCGATGATTTGCTCCGCGTGGCTCCCCGTCCTTGATCTGCCCGCCTGGAAACGAAACGAGATGCTGGGATCCCCCCATGCCTCCCCCCACCCTCCCACCACCTCCCAGGCCCTCCAATCCCCCCACTCTCCCCCCCGACCTCCCTAC